CCCTCATCCTTTCTGTCATGTGAGGATATGTGGAAAAAATGGCTGTGAACCAGGAATCAGGCCTTCATCAGACACCAAACTCATTGGTGCATTCACTTTGGAATTCCCGGTCTCCAGACCTGTGAGAAATAGATTGCTGTTGTTTATAATCCACTTTATAAAGTATACGGTTCTCTGTTATAACACACTGAATACACTAAGATATTTATATACCTCACTTTCTGGAATCTTGTCTATTGTAGGCATTCATTTACCCCCCAAATAACCAAGTTAATAGGTCTGCAGTACCACTGCAATTTCACCTTCCTTCCAACCAATTACATCATCCCATTCTCACCATCCTGAAACTTTCTAGGTCTCTTGGTCCCCATAAATGAATTAAAGTACAAGAATATGATCGTTCCCATACCAAACCAAAATCACTCACCTCATCTCTCGTTTGTGTGGATTCCATAATCCACTGGGTAGTTAACGCATAATCTTCAGAAAATGCAGATCTAACTATGGGCCCTCCCTCCTTCAGTGGCTCCCCACACTACCTTATAATAATGTCTCTAAATTCCCTAGAGTGGCTTACCAGGCCCTTTATATCTGCTCATAGTTTACCTTGCTAGCTCTGAGTTTTAATTTCTGCTCCTTCCTATTAAATACTTTAGCCAAATGGGAACTGATTCCTCGATTGCTAGGAAATACCTGCTCCTTGGCCTGGCCCAATTCCTTCCCTTTCTTCTACAGACACTGTCTCCTCCAGAAGCCTCCTCTGACCCCAACCGCTCTGTGGTCATAACACACAGTTATAGTACATATGACATTTATACAAACTCTTTATTAGTCTGTACAACCTATTAGACTAAACTCCTTGGAAACAGAGACCACATCTCCAGCATACGGTAGGTTTTCAAAAAATAATTATTTACTAGTATTAGTAGAATAATAAAAAATCATATGTAGAATACATACTCCGTACCAGACACTGTGCTCAGGGCTTAACACAACAACCATACAACAATCCATGGAATCTGAATGAAAGTCTAAGAGCAAGTAACACAGTGAGTGCTTACCACATACCAAGAAACATCTCATTTAATCCTATGAATGGCCCTATAAAATGGGTACTATTATTCTCTTTTACACCTGAGAAAATTGAGACTCAGAGACTAAGTCACAGGAGTTGGGAAAAGAATCTGGGTCTTTCTCACCCAAAAGTCTATGCTTTTCACTATTATGATATACAACTTCCTGAACTGGCTTCTATTTTTTTTCAATCTCTTCCTATTTCACACAATCCTGAATCAGGTTCTGATATGTGCAAGATTACCTCATTTCATAAAGGGGGAGAAAAAGTTTCAGTTTCCCTGCAAATTGTGCAATAACTGTATTTCGTTCTCTTTTTGGATCCAAAGACTCACCTTTGCCATCACCTCCTGTGGACCTTCTGTCTTTGCCTCTGAGCTTTCTCCTTTAAAAGGATGCTGAGAATGTGGTTTGCAGTTTTAATACAGAAGGCCAGCAACTCTTATATTTTAATTCAGATTTTTTTCTCCAAAAAGACTATACTATGAGCCAAGCATTTAGTTCAAGGACAGAAAAGGTCAAACGTCAAGAAGGAGGGGACAGATGATTAGATAGCTGGATGATATATGGAGCTATGGAGCAATAAATGTGATAAATAATATCACAGCCAGAGTCACATCACATCAAACTTTTAGGGTCCAAAGCAACATTTCTTAACCAGTTCTCTTTTCTGTGATATAGAGATAACAAAAGCAACCATTTTGTGGGATTATTGTAAAGATTAAATGAGTTAATACACTACACATGAAGCACTCAGTATACTTAAAACATACATACATACCATAAGCACCGAATAAATCCCAGCTTTATTATTCTTATATCTGGAGTTACAAACCTCTGAAAAGCTAATGAAAGCTACAGATCCCTGAATCCACAATTCTGATTTAGAGTCAACTCCAAGTTTAAGTGGAGAGAAAAAAAAAAGTGAGCAAATATCCTAAATTATTCTAAGACATAAGAGTCCAGAAATGCGGGGTTGGGGGAAGTGGTCCAAATAGGTGGAAGTTTCAAAAACAATATAAACAAAACATAAACAATATAAAACAAAACATTACAGAACGAGGAACTAACAAATAACTTTTAGGTTTTTTTATAAATATAAAGTTTTATTTATTAAGTTTTACAAATATAAAACACATTTGCGTTCCACCTGTTGCTAACAGTAACTATGTTCAACAAAGAGAGTATTATATTAGCTTCAAAGTCAGCAAGAGGTATCAATAGTAAAGACAGTGTGATAAAACAGGTACCAGAAGAAGAAAGCCAGCATGACTTAGAGAAGTGTCCGTAAAACCACGGGAGGATTGTAGACATTTGTTCTGGCTCCCCTCATTTTCCCTAGCTCTGGGAGTCCCCACCTTTGGAGGATGGTCACTGGTCAATGTCCTTTCCCTTCGCCTAGGGAACCCAGATCACTCACAACTCCTTTCAGAAAGGGCAGTACAAAAGACCGAAGACGAGGACAGATTGAGGGAAGGAAGCTAATACTGAGTACCTATGGCAACGGCAAAAGCACGGTGCTGGCCCTGTCGTATACAACTCAGTTTAATTCGCGGGAAAAGACTTCCCAGAAGGGGAAAAGAGGATGGGGGGAAACCGGCCAGTAGGTGAGAGAAAGGGAGGTTAGGATAGTTCGAGGGCGGCAGACGGCCGGGGAAAGAGATAACCAGCAAGGGCAGGAGGAACGAAGGGAGGAGGACAGGAGGTGGAAGAGGGAGCCGAAAGAGAGAATGGACCGTTCGGCAGTACCGAACGCCGGCGGGAGGCGAGCTGAAAAAGAGGCACGGTGTCACCCATTTACCTTGCTACGCCCCCCGGAGGCGACGCGCTGCTGCGAGCTGGGGGCCGGGAAAGACTGGGAAGGGACGTTCAGCATCCTGGACCCCTGGCCCCGGCCCTGCCCTGGGTCCGCCGCCTGACAGGATCGCTCAGCTCGACTCCTCTAAGGTAACACCTCCCGCTCCGGCTCCGAGGCCGGGCAGAGGCCAAGCCCCCAGCCCACTTCCGGGGTCGGCCGGGGTGAGGCGCGCCATGACGCAGCACGTCGAGGCCGCGGGGGGCGGAGCCAACGGGACGAGCGCAGCGCCGGCGGGGGAGGAACCCGACAGAAGTACGCGTGCGGCGTTAGCCCTGCACCCTGAATTTCAGCACCGTAGTGAGGTGACAGCTATTCCGTGGAAGGGTTAAAGACTGAGCGAAGCTGTTCCTTAGCCTTGGTGCTGACAGAATCTGAGTATAATTATAGACTCGTCTTAACCCAGAACGCCAAGTTTCTGTTGTTAAGCCCTACCCTCACACTACTTGAAATACGGAATAAAATAACACTATCAAAATTTTTATTTCTCTGAGATTCTTTCTCTCCTCTAAAGCACCCGGCTGCACAAGAAAGCGAACTTTTAAGAGCTAAGGCGTCAAATGCAAACAGCCACAGCCACGCTTATGAGGTGAAGCTTCACCTTTAAGAACCCTCGCTAATGACAAACGAATGAGTCAAGGAAGTTAGTAAAGTCTCCTGTTCCATTCACCCACTCACAAGTTCTTCCTCCTCATCCAACTTCCTCTCTTCGCTGAAAGCTACACGGAAAGAGACAAACAGTTATGTCAAAGAGGTTTAGTTTGAATGCCATCTCTGCACTTAATAAATGAGCAGGCTTGTGCAAGTTACTTAAGTATCTCAAAGTCTCATTTTCCCCGTGGACTTAGGCTACAGTAAGAATTAAACAAGATGTCATATGTAAACTACCTAGTACAGTGCCTGGGTAATAGTAGGCACTTGATAAATGGCAGTGGCTTGTCATACTATTCGGACAGATTGAAAGAAGCTCAAATACCGAGCACCTAAAAGAAGTCCCTAATGATCAAGGTCGAGATTGGTGACCTGGTGGGTATTTTTGCATATCCCTTGCAGAACACACACATCCTCAGTGTAGAATCCAGTGAGGGGAAAGCTTTCAGAAGAAATACAGTTCTAAATAACTCTCCCTGTTCTCCTGCCATTACTAACTTTTCCTGACTCTGACACATGATTTGAACTTGCTCCATTTCAACTGCCCTGTCGTTAGAGTGCCTGTAAATCAATGTTTGTAGTATCTTTTCAATTAGAAGGGAAAGTGAGTGATCTATGTAGCCATTCAAGTAAGAGGCATTTCTTAGCTAGGTAACCATCTCTGACCTTCACCTCTACCCATCATCATTCTGGGATACTAAGAAACATCTGCAATTAAAATGTTTATTGTGAGACTGCATTTGAGTTAAAGAACTTCATGACCATAGTCTAGGTTACCTCTACTTGCAATGTGCTCCTGTTTTCTCTGTCATTAAATGATCATGTATTCTTCTGTAAGTCTACATTTAAAAAAAAACTAGTCACTGAGAATGTCTTATTTCACTTCCCACGAGAAAATCTGTAAATGACAATACCAAGAGCAAGGAGCCAGAACAAACGAGGTGATGTTATAGAAGAATGTTTCATATCTGCCAAATGTCTTAGCTCCCCCTTACACAGAAATGGAAAAAAAGATCAAATTCTAGCCTTTTGGCTCTCCTTTTTTAGATTCCATACAAGTCATGTTCACTTAAACATTTTTTTTTTTTAAATTCTGGGGGTCCCTCAATGAAGTGCTCTAATTATTGTACACCAGTGCTATTTTACTACTGGATTTAAGGGCAGCAGAGGAGTATTAATGTGAGTATTACTTGATTCATCATTCATTAAAAATCCTTAAGATTTAATAACCATGGCATTAATTCCCATTCTCAATTATGGGCAATGATTTAAAGTGTTTTCCACCATCTGCTAGCAAACACACAGTATTGTGTGATTGGTAGCATGACTTATAGTGTAAGGGTAAAAAAAGCCAAACTACTATAGAATTATAAAATATTTCATTTTATTAATAATTTATATACAAATAAATTAGTTTGAAGGATTATGATACATTTGTACACTAAATTTAAATCCTATAAGCTTTGAATGTCATCACAAGTAACTAATCAGGTTAATTTTCACAGATCAGCTCCTCAATATCATCTTCGCTATCAGAATCTTCATAAAATGAAATTGTGGCTTGAATTGGAAAATTTTTCAGAAGAGCTTCTGCTTCTTGATATAAGTAATCATAACACTTTGACTTTGGCCAAAATAGTCTGAAAGAAGCAGACAACATAATATGCTTTATTTTTTTTTCACATTCAGAATCCTTATACTCATGAAATGTTCAAATTTTAAGAGTTCCATATACTTAACAATTGATGAATGCCTTTAGATAGTTTAAAATTGCTATAATCTCAGGTGTCATGGGAGTCTAGTTGCCAAAGTATCAAAAACTAGTTAATCATTTTAAGACTTTATCCAAGCTGTAAACTGGATCAAAAAAATTCACACCCTTTGTGGTAAATATTTAGCTCACTTCAGGTGTTATAGATATATTTATTCTTAATAATATACAGATGAGGGATTGTCTTCCAATTTCCAAAATCCTTTGGAGAAAAAAAATGAATCCTGCAATTATATTAAAAATTCTCAAACCCAACTTTATAAAGACAACAAAATATTATGCACCTTCCAGAAAAGCAGAAATCACCTAGTATATTAAAACTCACAGATTTAACTGTTAGTTGCAGATGTAGCTAACAATGTACATTTAGAAGAGTACAAAAAGCAATATTTTAAAGTTTTTCTATGTACTCACATCAGGGCTATAAGAAGGCTTCCTCTGGGACCAGCCTTGATCCCATCTCCTTCCCCTTTCCCCATACAACTGAATTTGGAATACTATATTGGGATAGTGAGAATAATTCTGGCTTTATACAATTTGCATATAACACAATTGCCTCAGAATTTCAAATTTTTCACAAGTATTAATTTTGCCATCTAGTCTTCTTTTATTTTCCTCCAAAGCAAAGAAGGAAGAAGGATATGGCTGACCCACCAACAATAGTGCATTTTAGCGTAGGGTAGTTCGTCCCATGTACCCATTTGTAACAGAGTGCTTCTAACAGAGAGAAGGTCACATTATGCTCAGTATACTCCATTGTAAAGGGCAGAAAAGTAAGCAATGTAGTTTATAAATGTTTCTAAGCGAATGACAAAAAGAGTTTTAATTCTGGTGTCTAAATAAGCAACCATCAATAATGCAGTCATTCAATAACAATTTTAGTGATCTCTTGTGCCAGATGAAATTCATAATTCAAAGATGAAAAAAATCACAGTTTCTATCCTTAAGAAGTTGACAACTGAGTAAAAAGAATGAGAAATACTCAACAGTATTCAAGATAGAAATTAATAAAAATAAAACTAAAAGAAGTACAAATAAATGGCTATAGTAGTCCAGAAAAGAAAGGGATTTCTTATATAGGAAACATGATTTTCTTTTTTTTTTAAGAGTTTATTTACTTGTTTGACAGACAGAGATCACAAGTAGGCAGAGAGGCAGGCAGAGAGAGGGGGGAAGCAGGCTCCCTGCTGAGCAGAGAGACCGATGTGGGCTAAATCTCAGGACCCTGAGATCAAGACCTGAGCCGAAGGGAGAGGCTTAACCCACTGAGCCACCCAGGTGCCTCGGAAACATTATTTTCTAATGCTTAACTAGAACTGTCAAACCCAAAGAATGTTGTTTAACTGTTACCACACTCTGCCCAGAATCTCTGAGTAACCACTTCTCTTTCGGGGACTTCACACTTTCCTGAATTCTTCCCTGTTCTGAGTGATTTTTCTCAGTATCCTTTGCAGACGGCTTTTTCTCTGTATACAGGTTGGTATTGGCCTTCCCCAGTGTTTTATCAAGAGTGATCATCTCTCCTCTCTCACTCCCCTGGAAGACTTGATCTACTGACATGATTTCTTCAACTGTTCATTTATTGAAGACTCCCAATTGTCTGTATTTCCACTTAAGATGTTGACTCCAGGCCCCTTACGTGTGTGGGTGCACAGCTCCTTACTGGACATATCTATTTGGAAACCCCATAGGCACACTAAATACAATATATGAAAAATTGGACTCATTATCTTGTTCCCCAAATCTGTTTTAAGCCCTATTTTCCACTCTGTTAATACAGCATTCATCTGGTCACTAGCCACAAACTCGGAAGCCATTCTGTCTTTTCAACTCTTCCTTACCTACCATATCCAATACATTAGAAGCCTAATCTATTATGTCACCTAAGCATTCCCCAAATTCACCCAGCCCCATCCCTACTTCTACTGCCTTAGAATGGCTTTTTATCATAGCTTGCCTGAATTACAGTAACTTCCAATTTCATTTTGGTTTTCTAACTAATTCTATATACCATTTTCTTAGTGCATTTTCTGAAACATAAATTGATCATGCTAGCTTTGAGTAACACCCAGTACCAGCCACAAAATAAAGGCCATGGATTTCCAATGCCACACTCAGGAATAGGACAAAACTCTACAATAAGGTGTAGAAGATGCGGCCTGTGGCTTACCTGCCAGAATGATCACAGCTTCATGCACCCAATTCCAGGTCCTTGAGGCTCCCATTGGGAGCCATGCTGTTCCATGACTCTGTATCCCTTCACCTATGCTATTTCTTCTGTCCCATTTCCCCACCTACCATTCATCTGGCTAACTTCAAGGTTCAGCTAGGTAACCACATCCCGTCATACACACTTCCCAGATCTTGCCCCACTCCGTTTGGCCCAGTTAGGTACTTCACATCCTTTACATACTGCTAAAACTGACCAAACTAAACTATTACAACACTTGCCAAAGGGGTGTGGTTATTTTTTTCCTGTGTCCATCACTACGTAGAAAATTAATCAACATTCATCAAGCTCTACAAGCTACTTATAAACATATATATATACAAATACCATGGGCTCTGCATTTCACAACCCTCTGAAGCCAGCAAACTGCAGAATGAACCTTTCACCTGAGTAAAAGCTACAAAGATTTCCACCGAAAGGCCGACTTCCCTTCCCGGGGCTAGCAAAGGGAAACTAGCTCTTCACTGTCATGTTAAGTAACTCGATCCCTTTTAGGAAGCTTCTTGATCTTTACGATTTTCATCACACTCCATTTTCTCTTCCACGTCAAGCGCGATCTGCTGTAAAACTGCAACTATGAACACCATTCTTCCTTCTGGTTTGCAAAACAGTAAGAATATACACACTCTGCCCGTTGTGAAGTCAATTTCATTGGAACCATTTAGCATTAAACAACACAAAACTGGCTTGCAGACACAAGATGTCACCGGTCGGCTTGGATGATGCCAACCACTTTCCCTCTTTATAATAGACTCTTGAAGAGTTTACTGAGTGGGCACGGATTAACAGTTCTTTTAGGTGAGAGCGTGAACCACCTTTATCAATTCGATGAATAAAGAACCTCTGGGATCCCTGAAGACAGATTTTCCCAGAGAGAAGAACCGCAAGGCCAGCCAGGGACCTAGGCGCTGCGATTGCCGGCTCTACCCTGCGCTGGAGGAGCGGGAGCCCTTCCGTGAGGCCTGTCACTCACCTGACTGGGTGTCTGTATTGGGAAGGCTTTCCTGAGGCTTCGGTCACCCCGGTGTCGTCCGGCATCTGGGGACGAAAGGAAATCAATCACAGTGACCACTCACCTTCTAGAAAGGGGAAAAGTGGTCTAGTGTTCCTCGCGCTCGCGGGGAACGGTGACCCCCGGGGCTCTGAGCAGCCTCGCTCCCGGCCGGATCCGTGCGTCGGTGGCTCTGGAGGACACCCTCGCAGCATCAGGACCCACGGGGCTTCCGGTAGGGCCCCGGGCGGGTGCGAGCGTACGCGAGGGGCGGGCGGGGCGTGTGTCTCCCTCGGGCAGTGCATACCCAGTCCCGGTGGCTCAGCCGTCCTCCCGGGAGGCACGGCCCGGGGCGCGCGCTCACTCACCGCCCCCGCCGCGTGCTGCGACGCCCCCTCCTCCTTGTAGCCTCTGGCGTCAAGCCACGGTCTCCAGAAGCTTGCGGATCTGCGGGGTGGGGGGCCCAAGACGCGCCGAGGAGACGGGAGCCCAGACCCGGGAGGACCGCCCGCAGCCGAGCGCGGCCCCGGGGCCGGCCGGGGGCGGAGAGCGGAGGGGAGGAGCTGGGGAGACGCGGGCGGTAGGGCCGGGGTGGGGGAGGCGCCGCAGCCGGAGTCCGCGACCCGGAGCCGCGGCGGGCGGTCCGGGCCCGCAGGCGGGAATCGGTGGCAACAGCGGGGCACGCACTCGGCGGTTCCGCTAGCCGAAGGCTCCCCGGTTTCCATGGCGCGGCGGAGCCCAGGAGAAGGCGGCTGCCAGCTCGCGGGCCAGCCGGGCCTCTTCCCTCCGCCAGACCCGGGACCCGAGCTTTATATATATACCCCGGCTGCCTGCTGCATACTGAGAGCTGCGCTCCCTCTCCGCCCCTCGCTCCCCCGCTCGCCGCATAAACAAAAAGGTTGCGCGTGAAGGCGCAACGGGCTGAACCCCGGGTGCGAACGCGTGCAACTCCCAAATGGCCCGGGAATGGGTTTTGCTGAGCGAGTGTTAATCGCTCTTCGACACATGGCTGCGGGGGGAAAAAACAACATTCGCCCGAGCAGCCAATTTCCAAGTGAAGAGTCTAGGAGGAGATAAAATTAAGCAATTCTACACGTTTTGTGTATTTCTGCAAAAAGGCCAAGTGGCTCGTCATTGTTTGACTCGAGGCTTTTTGGGATGTGGTCAGTGCAACAAGCTCTGCATCCCGGCAGCTAAACGCTGGGATGCGGACCGAGTTAAAAGGAATGGCCTTAACTCCTCTTTAGGCAGAATGAGAGCTGGGAGAATGAACAGACTCCTGTCGAAAGGAAATTTTTTGTTAATGTAGTGACAGACTAGGGTCTGCCTATTGTTATTTGTATTTAAAAATAAATTTTAAATTGTTATTTAAAAAATAACAAAAGGTAAATTGTAAAAGACTGAATATTCCAGCCGTGAGATCCTAAGATTGGAGTCCTGCGATTTAGGCTTAGAGATCTATATTATTTTCTCCTATTTTTGTGATTTTCCTCAACATCTTACCAGAGTCCCCTGAAGAGAAGCCTTAAATTTCCTGTATACACAAGTCACGACTTGGCATTTTGTTCCTCAGTGATAATTAGAAATTATTTTGTGGAGGCAGGGTGTGTGTAGAATGATTATGAAATCTTGAAAAGTTTATGGGACAAGTTGTCTGCCTCTCTGTGACCCTGTTTTTCTTATTTCAGTTGAACTTCACTTATTACAAAAGCCCATTAAACTTGATAAAAAGTGTTATGCTTCAAAGGAAAGATGATGTATATAACTGCCGTAATTTTTTTCAAACTGTTTTAAATAATAGAGCTGAACTTCTTAAAAGTTGTAGGTAAAAGCTTTTAATGTAAGTAACAGTGTCTCAGCTGTTCATTCAGTTACTGTGTAGGAAAATAATCTATCTGATTAATACTTAAGGATCTATACTGATCTACCCAACAGGAAAGTGAGATATGGTTTGTTTCAGGTAATGAAATCAGTAAGGACAGCTACCTAATACATTTCTCAAGGCCCTGGAATTATTGTTGGCAAAATAAAATAAAACTTAGCAGAATGCTTTGCTACAAGGCCTCACACATAGGAAGCGCTCAACAAATTTTAAGCTATGTTTAAAAATGAAAGTCCTTAACAAATGTTAAGCTACCTGATGAAATGTTCACCATTTCAGTTTCATAAACATCTTTTAAGGAGTCTGTAGTGTGCTAAGTACTGTGCTTTCCAGGCGTAATGGTATAATGGGGAATAAGATATCTCCCCCACCACACCCCCAAGAAGGTTACAGCCATTATGATCTATGAGCATCACAGTGGCCACATAAGCAAAAGTTTTTAAAAAGTGCCACGTTCAATAACAAAAGAACATTTTAACCAGAGAAGTGGTATAAGGAAGGGAATTGATAAGTCTTTTGGGGACAACCACAAAAACTTTTTAGAGTAAAAGACATCTAAATTGGGTTTTCTAGAAGGATGAAGAAATGGTGTGGTCTGTGTGTGGCGCAGGAACAGAAAGAAAAGATAGGAACGGTGCTTCAAGGGAGTAGGGATTGCTGGAGCAGAGATGTCGCTGAAGAGATAGAAGGGCTTGAGGTAACAGGAGCCTGATGTACCATGACAAAACATTTTGGATTTAATGTGTAAGCAGTGGTGAAATATTTTAAGGAGGAGAATGAAATGGTCAAAGTTTTCATTTTTTAAAATATTATTTATTTATTTGACAGAGAGAGCGCGCGCAAGCCCACAAAAGCTGGGAGACTGGCAGGTAGAGGGAGAAGCAGGCTCCCCACTGAGCAAGGATCCTGATACAAGGCTTGATCCCAGGACCCTGGGATCATGATCTGAGCCAAAGGCAGATGCTTAAATAACTGAGCCACCCCGACACCCCTAAAGTTTATATTTTATAAAAGTCTCTCTGGCAGCCATATGGAAGACAGATTTAGGGAAGGCTGATACTGGAAACAAGGAAATCATTTACAAAGTCATTGCCATAGTTCAGGCAAAAGGCGATGAGAAGATGTATAGTAAGGATGGGAATGAAAGAACATATTTGAAGGATACTTAGGAAATAGAATCTACAGTACTACTTGCATCATAAAATGTGAGGGGATGAAAGTGGAGTCTAGATATGCTCCCAGGTTTCTAACTTGATTAACTAGGTAAATGGTGACAGCTCAAACAAAGACAGAGAAGACAAGGAATAGAAGAGGAAGAGCAGGTGAGATGCTTTTAGGTTGTTTTATTCTGTTAATAGTGTTCAGGGAAAAATAATGAATTTGGTTTTGGATTTGAATCTATCACATCAGGCTGGGCTACACTGCAATAACAAGGAACCCTAACTCTCATGGCCTTAGAATATAGTTTTATTTCTGACTCATGCTATATTCCATTTTGGGTGGGTAGGATTTACTCCAGTCATCTTCACTGAAGGACACTAGCTGACAGAACCTCTTTCCACTGTAACAGTGCCATTTGTCATAACGGGGGCAGGAGGGGAGGAATAAAATTAACTGGTTTTTAAAGACTTAATAACATGTAGGTGGAGAAACTATCCAAGGGACAATCAGATATGAGGTTCAGAGTTCAGTAGAGAGTTTAGGACTAAAGATTCAAATGTGGGAGTCATAAGAAAAGAAATAGGAATTTAAAACTGTAGGGACTGATTCATTTTCCCAGGAAATTTTGTAGCTTGAGAACAGGACCAAGGACAGAGCTCTGGAGAGCAACATTTGATTGTGAAGTGAGAAGTGCAAAACAAAATAAAGCAAAACAAAACCTTCCTGTAAAGGAATGGTGAAGGTAGTAGAAGGTGCATTTGTACAGCAGGTATGATAGGACCATGAACTGAAAGAATTCCAACAAGGAAGGAAAGGAGGAAAGGCCTAAGGCATTAAGCGCCACCACTGGGTCAAACAAGATAAGGATGCATGTTCATAGAATTTGCCAAGTAGGAGTCATAAGTGACTTTAACTTTTTTTTTTTTTTTTACAGTAAATTGAGCTGTAGAGGTGAAAAAATAAAATAGTAAGTTGAGCTATCTTTTTGAAAGGAAAAAGGGGAGAGAAGAGAAACGTTGGGTCAGTAGAGGGGTTTCGTTTTTAGAGGACAAGAGGCAAAAGAATGTTTATAAGATGAAGAGATGAGGCAGTAGTGGAGAGGCCTCTAGAGAAAGACTAGGCAATGGCTCCAGGTCCCCTAGGAGGAAAGAAGAAACGAGATCAGAAGCTGTGGGGAGGATTCTCACGCAGTTGAAAGGTACGAACCAGTGACTACTCAAGAAAGGAGTTTAATCAATTTGGCTGGATCTGGCATGAAGAAGGAGGGGATAATGGGATGATGAGACATGAATCTGAGAGAACACCGGTTGTCTTAAAATTGTGAAAAAAAAATGAATTACTAGAAGGTCAAAAGGGAGAGCCAATTAAAAAAAGTACGGTAAAATGTATATTTGATCAAATTTTGGTAAACTGAGAAGTAGAAATGCGTATCGCTGGAATGAGACTATTTATATATTTATACATTTGTTCCAGCTATTTATACAGATGCTGCTGCTCATTTCCGGTGAGGCCAAGACCAAAAGAGCTTAGTCATGTTACATTCAAAATTCTTTTAGAAAATCTATAGGAGTACCACTAGTGCAGTTAAAACATGTGCTTTTTAAAAAAAATTAAGATATAATTCACACATAGCATTATATTCGTTCCATGTGTACAACATGATGATTCAGTATGTGTATATATTATGAAATAACGAGCACAGTAAGTCTAGTTAATGTCTTTCACCACACATAGTTGCAATTCTTTTTCTTGTGATGGAGATTTTAAGATCTACTTTATTAGCAACTTTGAATATACAAAAGATTATTCCTAACTATAGACACCAGGTTATAGATTACATCCCAGGACTTATTTATTTTATAACTGGAAGTTTGTACCATTTGACAACTTTCATTCATTTCATGAACACTCATCCCACCTTTGTCAACCACCCATCTCTTCTCTGTATCTATAAGTTTGGGCTTGTTTGTTTGTTTAAAGATTCCACATATAAGTGAGATCAAATGTTATTTGTCTTTCTCTGACTTATTTTATTTAGCATAATAATGCCCTCAAGTGCCATCCATGTTGTCCCAAATGTCAGAATTTCCTCCTTTTTCATATCCAAATGTATATATGTTACATAATATTATATATATATTATATATATGTAAAATATATGTATTATATTTTCTTTATCCATTCCTTTACTGATGGGTAATTGGATTGTTTCCATGTCTTTGCTTTTGTAAATAATGCTGCAGTGGGGGTTCAGATACCTTTTCAAGTCATTGTTTTTGTTTCCTTTAGATAAATTCCCAGATATGCTATTGCTGGATCATGTGGTAGTTCTATTTTTCATTTCTTGAAGAACTTGAATATTGTTTTTCATAGAGTCTGCACCAATTTGCTTTCCTACCAATAGTGTACAAGTGTGTCCTTTTCTCCACATGTTTGATAATATTTGCTACCTGTTTTTTTTTTTTATAATAGCCATTCTAGCAGATGTGAGGTGGTATCTCATCGTGGTTTTGATTTTCATTTCCCTGATGATGAGTGATGTTGAGCACATTTTCATTTACCTACTGGCCACTGGTACAGCTTCTTTGGAAAATGTCTATTCAGATCTTCTGCCCATTTCTTAATTGGCTTGTTTGCTTTTTTACTATTGAGTTGTAAGAGACCTTTATATATTTTGGATAT